ATCATCCAGACAGAAAATTAACAAGGAAACACAGACTCTAAATGAAGCGCTAGTTCAAATGGATTTAATAGATATCTACAGAGAATTACACCCCAAAACTGCAGAATTCACATTCTTCTCAAGTGCACATGGGACATTCTCAAAGATAGACCACATGTTGGGCACAAACTAAGTCTCTACAAGTTTAAGAAGATTGAAATCCTATCAAGCATCTTCTCAGATCACAATGGCATGAAACTAGAAATCAATTGCAACAAGAACATGCAGAGACATTTGAAAACATGGAGGCTAAATAGCATGTTATTGATCAATGAATGGGTTACCATGGAGATCAAGGAAGAAATTAAAAACTTCCTGGAAACCAATGAAAATGAACACACAACAACACAAAATTTATGGGATGCAACAAAAGCAGTTCTGAGAGGGAAGTTCATAGCACTACAGGCCTACCTCAAGAAACAAGAAAAATTTCTAGTAGACTATCTAACCTCACAACTTAAAGAACTAGAAAGCAAACAAAAAGAAAACCCCAGAGCAAGTAGAAGGAAGGAAATAGTAAAGATCAGAGCAGAAATAAATGACATGGAGACCAATAAAACAAGTCAAAGGATCAATGAAACAAAAAGCTGGTTCTTTGAAAAGATAAACAAGATTGATGGACCCTTAGCTAGACTCACCAAGAAGACTCAAAGAGAGAGAACCAAAATATACAAAATCAGGAATGAAAGAGGAGAAATAATAACTGACATCACAGAAATACAAAGGATCGTGAACAAATATTATGAACAATTATACGGCAACAAATTTGACAATCTAAGCTAAATGGACAAATGTCTAGAAACACAGTCTCCCAAAACTGAACTAGGAAAAGATAGAAAACTTGAACAAACCAATAACTACAGAAGAAATTGAAGATGTAATCAAGACTCTCCCAGCAAACAAAAGCCCAGGCCCAGACAGCTTCATAGGGGAATTTTGCCAAACATTCAAAGAAGAACTAATACCCATTCTCCTCAAACTCTTCAAAAAATTCAAGAAGAAGGAAGACTTCCAAACTCGTTTTATGAGGCCAGCATAATTCTAATTCCAAAACCAGAAAAAGACACTACAAAGAAAGAAAACTACAGGCCAATATCCCTGATGAACACAGATGCCAAAATCCTGAACAAAATACTAGCAAATCACATATAGCAATACATCAAAAAAATTATTCACCGTGACCAAGTGGGGTTCTGCCCAAGGATGCAAGGCTGGTACAATATTTACAAATCAATAAATGTGATATACCACATAAACAAAGTTGAAAGATAAAAATTATATGATCATATCAATAGACACTGAAAAAGCATTCGACAAAATCCAGCATCCATTTCTGATAAAAATGCTCAGCAATCTGGGAATAGAGGGATCACATCTCGACATAAAAAAAGGCCATATATGAAAGACCTACAGCCAACATCATACTCAATTGGCAGAAAGTAAAATCATTTCCCTTAAGAAGAGGAACAAGACAGGGATGTCCACTTTCGACACTCTTATTTAACATAGTACTGGAAGTCTGAGCCACAGCAATCAGACAGGAAGAAAAAAATAAAAGGGATCCAAATTGGAAAGGAGGAAGTAAAACTTTCATTATTCACAGATGACATAATACTATATGTAGAAAACCCCAAAAGACTCCATCAAAAATTTACTAGACTTAATAAATGAATTTGGCAAAGTAGCAGGATACAAAATTAACATCAAGAAATCGATGGGCCCTGGCCGGTTTGGCTCAGCGGTTAGAGTGTCGACCTGCGGTCCGGAGAGACCCGGGTTCGGTTCCCGCTAAGGGCACGTACCTCGGTTGCAGTTTGTCCCCGGCCCTGGTTGGTCGTGCGGGTGGCAGCCAGTCGATGTGTCCCTTCACGTCGATGTTTCTCTCTCTCTCTCCCTCCCACTCTATAAAAAAAAAAAAAAAAAAAGAAATCGATGGCATTCTTATACACCAATGATGAAGTCACAGAAAAAGAAACAAAACAGAACAAAGAATCCCATTTACCACTGCAGCAAAAAAATTAAGATACCTAGGAATAAACTTAACCAAAGAAATAAAGGACTTATTCGCCGAAAACTACAGGTCATTGAAAAAAGAAATAGAGAAAGATATAAAAAGTGGAAGCACATACCTTGTTCATGGATTGGAATAATTAACATCATTAAAATGTCCATACTACCCAAAGCAATCTATAGATTCAATGCAATCCCCATCAAAATACCAACGACATACTTCACAGAACTAGAACAAATACTTCAAAAGTTCATATGGCACCAAAAAAGACCTCGAATAGCCACAGCAATCTTGAAAAAGAAGAACAAAGTAGGAGGGATGACAGCACCAGATATCAGGTTAAACTACAAAGCCACTGTAATCAAAACAGTGTGGTACTGGCACAAGAACAGGCATGTAGATCAATGGAACAGAATAGAGAACCCAGAAATGGACCCAAGACAATATACTCAATTAATATTTGACAAAGAGGGCAAGAGCATACAGTGGAGTAAAGACAGCCTCTTTAATAAATGGTGTTGGGAAAATTGGACAGCTACACGCAAAAAAATGAAACTAGACCATCAACTTACACCCCACACAAGAATAAACTCAAAATGGATAAAAGACTTAAATGTGACTCATGAATTGATAAAAATCCTAGAAGAAACTGTAGGCAACAAAATTTCAGACATCATACGCAGCAGAATTTTCAGTGATACATCACCTAAGGCAACAGAAACAGAAGAAAAAATGAACACATGGGACTACATCAAACTCAAAAGCTTCTGCACAGCAAAAGAAACAACCACCAAAATGGAAAGGCAACCCACTGTATGGGAGAGCATCATTGCCAATGATACATCAGATAAGGGATTAATTTCCATTATATATAGAGTGCTCATACAGCTTAACAAGAGGAAGACAAAGAATCCAATTAAAAAATGGGAGACACCTCTCCAAACAGGACATACAAATGGCCAAGAGACTTATAAAGAAATGCTCAACATCACTAATCATCAGAGAGATGCAAATTCAAACAACAATGAGGTATCACCTCACACCTGTCAGTATGGCCACCATCAACAAATCATCAGACAAGTGCTGGCGAGGGTGTGGAGAAAGGGGGACTCTAGTGCACTGCTGGTGGGAATGCAGACTGGTGCAGCCACTGTGGAAGACAATATGGTGTTATCTCAAAACATTAAAAATTGAACTTCCATTTGACCCAGTGATGCCACTTCTAGGAATATACCCTAAGAAGCCCGAAACACCAATCAGAAAGAATATATGTACCCCCATGATCATAGCAGCATTATTTACAATAACTAAGATCTGGAAACAGCCCAAGTGTCCATCAGTAAACAAATGGATAAAAAAGCTGTGGTACATGTACACAATGGAGTACTATGCAGCTGTAAGAAAGAAAGTTCTCTTATCCTTTGAGACGACATGGAGGGACCTGGAGAGTATTATCCTAAGGGAAACAAGCCAAGCAGAGAAAGACAAATATCACATGATCTCACTTATTTGTGGAATATAATGAACATAATAGTCTGAAGAATGGGGTAGTCCCAGAGACGTGGAAGTGGGGTACAGACTGACAATTCCCAGAAGGAGGGGTGGTGGGGGAGAGATAAACCACAGAACTTATATGCATGTGTGCATGAACAGTGGACATGGACAGCAAAGCTGGGGACGGGGCGGGGAGGGTGGGGGAGGAGGGTATCAGTGGGGAAGAAAGAAAACATCTGTAACAAATCTAAATTAATTAAGTAAAAAAAATGTGTCTGATCGCTGACTGTGAACTCATATTTGGAGGATCTTTGGCAACCCTAAGGCTCTAAATTGGGGATGTTTTCTTCTGTTAGATTCGCCACCTGGGACCACATTCGCCCCCCCTCGGGTGTCTCTGCTTCATGGGGGAGTCCCAGGTTCAGCTCCCCTCCCTGCAGTGGGTCTGGGTTCATGGTTTCCCAGCCTTCACACAGGTCTTCGTGCCAAGACTTTAATTATTAGCTGCAGCTCCCAGGTCCCCACCTCAGTCTCAGCTCGGGGTTCTCCTGGGCAGGTGTATCACTTAGTTATTGTTTATCTTTGAGGATTCCATTATTTCCTGAGAACCTAGTAAGGCACTCACAGGGTCCTCGTCAGGCATCACGTGGGATCTGAGCACCGACAGCAGGAGGGTCCTCCGAACACGGAGGCTTCCTACAGCGTCCAGAGACGTCGCTGCCGCTTAGGGGCCTGAGTGCGGAGCCAATCTTCCCGGAACCCCGCTTGGGGACCACCTCACCCTCGGCAGGTGATCAATAACATTAGCACAAGAGAAGAAGGAGGATGCAAACCACACCAGGGCTCTAGGTTGAAGTTAGGACTCAGAGATGCAGTGTCTCTTTTCAACTGCTCAGGAAGCCATGACCGGATGCCACCCTTGAATGCTGAAGCCACCTCCCTCCCGAGCCACAGGCTGCCTCTGGCCCGCAGCTGACATCACAGGCGGGGGGCGGGGAGGCAGCAGTGGGAAGGAGGCCCCCTGGCCCTGGCGTCCCGGGTCTGCAGCTCCCTACTGCTCCCCCAGCAGCTCTGGTCCGTGTCTCCTCTTCCCCAACCCCCTACGCTGAGAACTAATCGTCTCCCCAGACCTGTGCGCACCCAGAGAACAGGAGTGTGGCTCAGCAGCCCTGGCTCAGTTCTTGGGGAGTAGCCAGGCAGACCACGGCAAAGGCTTCCCGCACCTGTTCGAAAGCCGCCAGACAGGGAGGAATAACAACACTAAGTGAAGTAGCCGCACCACCAGCAGGACCGCATGCTTTATATCACACTGGTTCCCTGGGGCTGGGTGCAGAGCAGGGGCTGGCCCAGACCCTTTCCTCCCTCCAGTCCAGCTCCTGGTGACCTGGGCTCTCACGGGAGAGTAGATTGGAAAGAGTCCTCCGGGCTTGGCCCAAGGCGGGGCCATCCAGTGGGCTGCGTGGCTCCCCTGGGATGCTGGAGCCCCAGGGAGGCAGGGCTGCTGCTGTTGCCTTCTCTGCGGGAGCCCGTAGGCTACGGGTTCTTACAGGGATGGAGGCCCTTTGCTGCACCAAGATATGCTGAGGCTCTGGGCACAGAGGGGTGCCCTGTGCCCACAGCCTTGCTCTGTGTCTGGCTCCGGGGGGATCCCCAGGTGGGCCGGACGGGGGGAGCAGATCCCAGGACTGCAGACGGGCAGCGGCATCATGACTCAGACTAGAAGAAGAGACCGGAAGGAGATGATGTCAAAGTGGGCGAAGCTGTGATGGTCTGAGCTCTTTGCTCTCACCCTGCAGGGGCGTCTCCTGGCCTCCCACCCTCCCTCTCATAGAATCTGTTCTCTGGGAAGTACGGGCCCCACTGGGCCAGGACACAGGCAGGTGTACAGCCGGCTGAGGCCCACCCTCTGAGGCATGAACATTCCATGGGAATCTCTGATTCGGGAAGTTCAGTTGTCAGTGATGGGAGCCCAGGCTGGTCCTTCCCGGCAGGGAAAATGATTTGGGACGTGAAAGGTCTCAGAGCCACTCAGAAAGCCAAGGATGAGCCAGAACCCTAAGAGTGGAGGACCGGAGGGAGGGCCTCCAGCGAGGGCCCCGGGCTCACCTTCCGGACACTGTAGATCCAGTTGAGATAGGCTGTGACTTTGGTGTACACTCCCGGGGTACTCGGGCCCCCACAGCCGTGGCCCCAGCTCACGATGCCCACAACTTGCCACAGGTCAGAGTGATACATTAGGGGCCCGCCGCTGTCACCCTGGGAGGACAGAGCGGGGGCTGCTGGGTAGGGCAGGGGGAGGGGTGGGCCTCTCCTTCCCCCCCTGCCTGCGCTGGCCACCTGTTGCCCTGCGCTCCCTGGTGCTCTCTGCCCCACCCCTCTGCCTGCTCTTCCTGCCGCCCAGCGCGTCCTTCGGTTTGGGGCCAAAGGGTTCTGCTGGAGGTCAAGCACCTTGTGGGCGTGCCCATAGCAGCCCCCTCTCAGATGTCCACAGCGCACACGAGCAGATCGAAGGCCCTAAGGGGTCCTGCAGCTAGGAAGCCTGGTTGCCTTTGTTTACTGCAGTATGTCCCCAGTATATCGAACCACCAGGAGGGCCTATGCAGGCCCTGTTCTAGACACTTGAGAAGGACAAAGATCCCTGCCTTTGGGAAGCTTAGAATCAAATTGGGTGTGTGTGTGTGTGATGGAAACATCAATGAGAGAAGACATCGACTGGCCGCCTCCTGCACGCCCCACACTGGGGATCGGGCCCACAACCCGGGCATGTGCCCTGACTGGGAATCGAACCGGCGACCTCTTGGTGCAGGGTCGACGCTCAACCGCTGAGCCACACCGGCTGGGCTTGAGTGAAAGAATCGAATGACTGAGGACAGAGGTGGGAGCGAGGTCAGGGGTTTAAGGAGGATGTCTCAGAAGATCCTCAGGGGTGGAGAACATGGGAATGTATTCAGGGGTTGGCCAGTGGGCATGAGGTGCGAGAACATGGCACCAGGACTCATCCAGCACGAGGTGGGCTTGCTCCAGAGTAGTTGGGCAGCTTGAGGATAGTGACAGAGAAAACTGACCTGAATTCTAGCCCTCACGGGACTCATACTCCTGCAGACAATGGGAAGTAGGGGTGGGTGGGGAGGGCACATCGTCTTTGCGGAGTGAAACACACGTACCTTTCGAATCGTTCTGCTTGTCTCCATCCACCTGTCCATCCCTCCCTAGATCTTACCTGACTCTCACCCCTCTCTCCCTGTTTCTCTCCATCACACATTGAGTACCTGCGTCTGCCGGGCTTCGTGTGGGGTGCTCAGACCTACACCCCTGTCCCGTGAATTCCCTCCCGGTGCCGAGGCCACACCTGGCAGGTGTCCACGCCGCCCTCCAGGACGCCTGCGCACAGCATCTGCTGGGTCACCTCCCCCTGGTAAGCGTCCTCTGCGTTGCACCGAGTCCTGTTGATGACCTGGACTGACCCCTGCAGCAGCACGTCAGACATCTTCCCTGGGGGTGAAAACACACTCACGCTCTCATCCTTGCCTGGCACCCCAGCCCAGGAGGCTTCCCTGGGTTACCGGGCACCCTGGTGCTTGGACCTCCGGGGTGGGTTTTTCTGAAGGGTGCTCCTCCCTCTGCCCGGTGCTCCCGAGCCCAGGACTCACCTCCGCCCTGCTCGGTGAAGCCCCATCCGATGACCCAGAGTGGGGTGGCGGGAGGGAGCTCCTCGTCAGGGAAGGGCAGGCAGATGGGCCTGACTGTGCCTGCGGAGCAGAGAGGAGGGCCCGGCGCTCAGGCGGCCAAGCTCCCACGACACACTGCAGGGTGTTCACAGACATACTGGGAGGAAAGGGGTTCTGTGGTCCGTGACGTTTACCAAATGTGCGTTAAACACAGTAAAGCAACTTCTCTTAAAAATTAGACATCGTTTGCATATCTTGAATGTACTATGGGCTCCAAGAAGAGAGCCGAGGTATAAAAGTGTTCCCCACACTAACTGGAGAAGAATTCTTTCCCCCCCAGGGACCAGCGTCCTGCGGATCCACCAGCCGGAAGGGCTGATCAGGTGCCACCCTCTATGAGCGTGAACCATCTGATAGAAATGCCCAGGACTCCGTGGGCTGCCTGCCCTGTGGACAGCAAATGGGCACAATGACTCCTTGGCAGGGACACTGTGCAGGCGCTTGGCAGTGGCTGTGGGTGGAGGTCGGACTAGATGATCTCACAACCGCAAGGCTGGGTGAAGCGAAGAGCCTCACGGAAGGTGCTCCATGGAGGAAGCGGACCTGGGACGCTCCGGCGGGGGTGGGGGAGGTCAGCCGGCAGCTCGAGGGGCCCGTGGCTGACTGGGAACACGACCTAAGGGGCTCTGCTCCCAGGTGCGGCTGTCACCTGAGAACGTGAGTGGGTACTGCAGCTTCACCAGGGCGATGTCCTTGTCTTTGGGGTGTGAGGTGTTGTGCTCAGCGGCGAAGATTTTGGCCACAGGCAGGGACGGGAAGTGGCCCAGTTTGTGTGAGCCGACCCTCACCTTCCAGCCGGGCACATGCAGGTACTTCCTGGGGGCAGAGACGGGGGGCTGGCCTGAGCCACGGTGAGGAGGCTGGGTCCCCAGGGCGCTGGGGATTGGGGAGCTGGATATCCCTGCCTTGGGAGGTAATGACGGACAAGGGGCGGTCTGAGAAGTCACCTCTCACAGGCCAAATTCTAAAGGGGGATTTGACCCCTTTTCCCAGTGAACCCTGCCCAAGAAGACGTCTAACTGGAGGGCTGGAGGGGGCTTCTCTCTGAGCTCGGGGCCCTGGCGCCGTCTCCTCCGAGGGTCTTCACTTTCGTTATTGCTCGTGGATACTCGCCCTGTGTGCGGTCACGTCACGTAATCACCGTCCTTCCTCCTGACACCAGACACCACTTAGGGGCCATTGTCAGGTTCTCTAAAGAGGCTGAGGATCGCCGGCCTGGCTGTCGGTGCCGCGAGGCAGGAAGGGGTCCGAATGCGCACGGACACGTGACGTCCGGCTCGGTACCCCGGGGACTCATCAGAGGCGGGATGGATGGACGGGTGAATGGCAGCAAAGAGGGCCCGGGAGCCGTCCGTCCCCCGAAGGGCAGGCCTCTCTGCTGGCCTGTGAGGAGACCTACCCTTGGTGTGGTTTAAGTTTCTGAACCCGGGAGAGAGGGGCAGTGACGAGACCCCAGACCACTTCCTAGAAGACCGGCAGAGAGGGCGAGAGTTCTCAGATGCCAGGCAGATGGGGGGCGCTTTTGTGGAGTGAGTGAGAGGGGGTGGATGGAGGACAGGGGCTTCGAACCTGCAAGAGGTCAGGCTTGGTGACCACCAGCCTCTGCTCAGACCCTCAGTGTTTAACAAGCATCTCACCGGGGTGGCCACACCCTAGGGCATCATCCTCAGGGGCAGGGTAAAGGGGAGAGAGGGCTTCCGAACACGGCCAGGAGACGGGGGGCCAGGCACCCGGGCCCCTCCTCGCAGCGGGGCCTTACCTGAAGCAGTGGGCAGCCGTGAGGACCCAGTGGGCGTCCAGGATGCTCCCTCCACAGATGTGCTGGTCGTTGTACTGGATGCTGACCTGCCAAGGCCAGGAGTCCCCGGAGGCCACCTCCCCGCCCACCACCCGGGGGGCCTTCAGGCCCTCCCCACAGGCTGGGCTCGGTAGGAAGGGGAGAAGGCGGGAGTCAGGCTCCGTCTCCAGGGCCCAGACCCCAGGCTTCCCCCATCGCCCTCTCTCTTTTCGGCTTGGGCTGTGCTTAGGAGGTTACGCTGTGAACACAGGTGTGTCCGCTGTGCTGAGCGCATGAACTAGGCAGTGATGCGGAATTAGGGAAGTCCTGCGGGCGCAGTGCCCCGAGACGCCCACGGGCAACAGTCAGCAGCGCCCACGGGCAGCCCTGGGAGCGGAAGTGGGAAGGAGGTTTGGGGAACCGGTCCCTCCTGAACTCACCTTTCGCTGAGCCCCTTCCCCTCTGCCGAGCGCGTCTCCCAAGTCCCAGCCTATTCTCTCTCCCATCCCACTGTCCCGGCTTTTGTATCTGACTCTTATTTTTTTTATCCTCACCCGAGGACAGTTTTCCATTTTTTGTTCAGATAGAGCAGGAGGGAGAGCGAGGGAGAGAGAGAGAGAGAGAGAAACATCGACGTGAAAGGGACACATCGACTGGTCGCCACCTGCACCACCCAACCAGGGCCGGGGACAAACTGTAACCGAGGTACGTGCCCTTAGCGGGAATCGAACCCGGGTCTCTCTGGACCGCAGGCTGACGCTCCAACCCTGAGCCCAACCGGCCAGGGCTGTCTGACTCTTGAACTCATAAAAACCTTTGGTCCTGCTCCCGCCCCGTCCAGCCTCTTTGGTCCTGGCCGTCCCTGCCTCGTGGCCTCTACAGGGCAAAGGCTTCCAACCTTCTGGGCTCTCTCGCCGGGGACTTTTCAAACACCACTGAATTCCACGTCACCTCACTCGCTCATTCGAAGCCCCTTACATCCCTCGTTGAGTGTAGGGTGGAGTTTAAACTCCCCAGAGCCTCCTGCTGTCCCTGCATAAAAGCGTCCATTCAGCCCAATCCATCTGTCAGTCCCCAGAGAGTCACTTGGTTTTGTTCCAGGAAGCCCGTGTACGGGGTCTCCCCTCGGTTTATCTACATCGTCGATCCATTCAGCGGGCGTGTCCGGATGCCCACCGTGTCTCAGGGATGCTAAGAAGAGCGTGCTGGACAAGGCAGACAGACGGACGTGGTCCCTCCCCTCCTGGGCCTACAGTTCATTCTTCATTGTTCAGCCTGGGCACCACCTTGCCGCCGCCCTGGGTGTCGGCCAGCCTTTCGTTGTTGACGTGCTTCCGTCTTCTCGGGGACACCCGGGGCTCCTCAAGGCACTTGTCTGTGACTATTACTTTTGTGACTTCAGTGCTAATCAGCTCAGCACACCAGATGAGGTGACCATTCATTCATTCATTCATTCATGCGCCAGTCACCATGTGTCAGCCCCACACTCTAGGTATTGCGGGGGGTCACCTGATAATGACTAAAAGTCTTACTGGCCAACAGGAAAGCATATATACTGCTAAACGTCAACGTCAGTGACAGTGACCTTCTTCCTCTCGGGACTTCAGCTTCTGCCACCCTCTGGGCTCTGCTCAGGTCTTCTCCCAGGAGGTGGGCAGGGTGACCCCCCTGTCAGGGCTGGGGCGTCTCGGGGATCCTCTTGGGCAGTGGCACTAAAGGGCTTCTTGTAAAGATGAACCTCAGAGGGGCCAGGCGAATTCCGCAAGGTCACCCCGGAGGCCAGCAGGACGCTGCTCAGGTGTCCTGACCCTCCAGCAGCTCTCTCTGCAGCATGTCAGCTGTGACTACTACTCAGCCTGGTGCTTCCCACGAAGGGCCTTGCCCCGCTCTCTGCTCACTTGCGAGCTCCTGAGGACGTCGGCCAGTTCCTTTCGCACGTTTCTACCTCCCGCCAGCGCCTGACAGGGCTAGACACACCCCAACGCCTCTGCTACGCCGAAGGGGTAACCCGGTCTTGAGAAACGGAGCTGACTGTGACAGACAGTTCTGGGGGTCCTGACCGGGACGGTAGAGGCCGTCCCAGGTGCTGCCCTCTCCAGGTGCCCTGCTCCCTCTCCCGGGGCTCTGCTCAGGCGTGGGGCTGTGTGTGGGCGGCAGGAGGAAGTCCTTAATGCCAATCGCTTGAAGGAGCGGTGACCCACAAGCCCCAGGCCCGAAGGTGTAAGGTTGGGGTGAAAACAGAGTGAAACTTGGAGTCTGAGAAACTCAGGAATGAGAGTGAGGGTCTTCCCCCATGCGCGCCGCTGGCCCGGGACCCGAACCCTCAGAGACGGGGCGTACTCACCCAGACAGTGCAGGGAAACCAGGGAGCCTGAGGGACAGGGTCTGCAGGGGAGACACAGGGGCCCTGTGTTTTCCGCTTCTCCCTTGGCCGGGAGGCAGGACTCAGGTCTCTGGCAGTATTGATCCAAGGCCCCTCCCAGTGGGCGGTATGGAAGCTGCGTGGCCCCGCAGCCCGTGTGGTCGGAGTGGCTGGGACGTGGGCTCAGGGAAGCACCTGCCCGTGCGCTGGGCCAAGCCGGGCTCTGGGCAGCCCGAGAGGGAGAGCCGGGACCTGTGCCCGCCGCTCCGCAGCCGGAGAGCAGGTACAGTGGAATCAGGCAAAGGATCGACCTGTCCCTGTCCCTGCTCCTGTCCCTGTCCTTTTCAACATTCTCGTTGACAAATAAAGGAACCAGCAACACCCCGAGTGCTAGGGAGATGCGCCCTCCGCAAGCTACGGTGCTGCCGGAGACTTTTGTTTCTTGAAAACGTTTTTATTGGTTTTTTTTTTTTTTTAGAGAGGGAGCGGGGAGAGATAGAAACATCGATGGGAGAGGGAAACATTGAGGGGGTGCCTCCTGCACGCCCCCTACTGGGGGTGGAACCTGCAACCCGGGCATGTGCCCTGACCAGGGATCGAACCGGGACCTCTCAGTCCAGGGGAGGACACTCAGTCCAGAGCCACACCAGCTGGGCAGCAGTTTGGTCAGGTGTCCTGCTCTAATCTGGGGCGGGGGGGCATCTGGAGAGCTGGGAGTGTGGACAGGTCTGGTGAGTGGCAGGGAAGGACGCAGTGACCTTGAGAGTATTGCCTGTTGGGCTTAGCAGGGGGCATCGGCGGTAGGAAGAGGAACGGTTCTACTGTTCGACTGATGGACAGGCCCCCGAGGCATGGGCGGCACTCTGTCCAGTTGTCTGTTGTATTAAAGAAGAATCAGCCCTGGCCGGTTTGGCTCGGCGGTTAGAGCGTCGGCCTGTGGTCCGGAGAGACCCAGGTTCGGTTCCCGCTAAGGGCACGTACTTCGGTTGCAGTTTGTCCCCAGCCCTGGTTGGTCATGCGGGTGGCAGCCACTCGATGTGTCCCTTTCACATCGATGTTTCTCTCTCTCTCTCTCTCTCCCTCTCTCCCACTCTTATCTGAACAAAAAAATAAAATAAAATAAAATAAAATAAAATAAAATAAAATAAAATAAAATAAAGAAGAATCAACCCAGGGAGTCTCTGAGCAATGTGCTTCTCCACTCCCGCTGAGCACCTGCCGCGGGTTCCTCCTGCCGTCTGGCTTACAGCCCCCTTGCTGCTGCCCAGGGCGCTGGCGCAGCCTGGCTGGCAGCCTCCGTGGGCCGGACGGTGTCCCATCACTTACCCGCTTGAATTTTGCACCTGAAGCTCCTGGCTGTCGCCTGTGATTTGCACGACATCTCGAACTTGGTCTGGACCTGTCTTCACAGCTCGGAAGGTGGGTTTGCTGCTCACGCCCGGAGGGAGAGAGAGGTGTGAGTCAGGGCAGAGTTTAGAACGGGACGGTGGGAACAGTCCACGCCCAGGAGCGGTGGCAGAGAAGGCTCGGGGGCACGGCAGGGGCACGGAGGGGCGCCGGTCAGTGCGGGCGGTGCCTGCTTTGCTGGATGATGAGGGGCACTCCCTTGGCACCCCAGGGCTCAGCTCTGGCAGGATGCTGCCAAGGCTTTGCCTTCTTGGGAAGCTTAGCCCAGAACCCAGAGTGTTGGAGACATGTTAGGGACGCACGGTCAAGTCCCAGCTCTGTCCTTACTGCCAATGTCCCAGAAATGTCTTGTGTTTCACAGAGGAGCCCAGGTTGGCTGCCCCCTCTCTCGGGGGAACTGGGATGTGGGCGTGTGGTTCTCTCTGCCATCTGGTGCACCTGGTAGTGGAGGTACACTGAGTCCCCTTGGAGACAGGACGGAACGGATCCGTCTTCACGGGGGTGCAGACAAACACGTCTCTCTCTTGCACCCCTCCCCTTCTGTCTGGGTGCGAGTCCCTGTTTGGGTTTCTGTCTTCCCTCCTCCATCTTTCCCGGAGTTTCTTCACTCTTCCTTCTCCTCCTCCTCCCCATCCAGACAGCCAGTCTCCGGATGGGGGCTCAGAGCCCCCCAAAGCCCTGGCTGCCTGGCTCAGCGTCATATTTCCAGCCAGGAACTGGGCACGACTTGGGGGGCGCAGATGCCACCCCTGGGAGGACTGGGGTTGGCAGAGCTCGGCTCTGGGTCAAGAGCCCTGACGGCCGAGGTGCTTGGCCTCGCTCTGACACCAGCTCGATGTATGACCTTGGCAGGTCACACTCCTCCGGGTCTCCCAAAGACTCACTGTCCTCCTCTGTAAAATGGCGGGTGGACCAGATGATCCCTGGGGTCCCGCTCCCTTCTAACCATCTAGGGTTTGGGGGTGCTGGGACAAGAAGGACCTCGTACCCAGGTGGGAGGAGAAAAGGAGAGATCTCTGAGGCCCGGAAGAAGCCACAACGGTCAAAACGACAGCCCCAGGGAAGTTGACCTCCCTGTACTGATTACATCCTGGTGGGTGAGTCTGACCAGCTTGGACTGTGCAGAGCCCAACAGCCAGGTGGCTTGGAGCTCCAGGAGGAAAACTTCCAGGAGCCTATTAACTCAAGAGCCCTTGGGGACCCCATTTCCAAGGTCCAGCCGCAGCCTGCGGTGCTGGGTACAGCTGACCCTGCAGTTGGCTGGACTGGAGGGGGAGGAGGGGCGGCTGGAGGAGGGGCTGGGCCAGTCTTCCCAGCTGCCCTTGGAAACAAAGGCGGTCCTCTCCAGAGGGTGCTGGGGGTTGTACCCCCGGAGGGCAGGGACCAGCAGAAGCCTGACAACCAGAGAGAGGGGACACAGGTCTGATGGATCAGTAATGGCTGCTTGGGGCGTTTGCTGAAGAACCTTGAGGCTGCTTCGGGGGTGCATGGGAGAGGGTTCTGCGACTGAGGCTGTCTGCCCAGCATCCATCATTGCTGCCTAGTCACTGCGTGCAGTTGCTTAGACTCGTGAGGTTCGGGGCCTACCAGGGAGAGGGTACCCCATCCTCTCCAGCTAGGCAATCTGGTGATCAACACGTCCCCCTCCCTTTGCGGATGAAACCTCGTGGGGAGAGAAAACGACCCAGCCTAGAAACAGACGCTTCTAGAACTCTCTGCCCAGGAATTAGGGGTCTTGGGCGCAAACCCCAGCCCTCTCCCTCCCAGCTACTGCCCAAGGGAGTTCTTACTTTCTCCAAACCTACTTCTAAAGTAGGTATCAGAACAACTTTTGGGGTTTTGGCCAGGATCAGCTGAATATAAATGTATAATTCGAACCACCCTTATTACAGTTCTAGACTTCTTCACCACTGAAAGTCTGGGACTGCTTTTGAACTTGCTGAGGGAACAACAAGGAAATCAGCTTTCTTCAAACCACATTTTTTTTTTTAATCCTCACCCGAGGACATTTTTCCTTTTTCCTTCAGACAGAGTGGGGGTAGGGGGAGACGGAGATGGAAACATCCACGTGAGAGAGACACATCGATCGGTTGCCTCCTGCGCGGCCCGACCAGAGGGAAAGGGGGGTGAGCACAGCGAAGGGGGGGTCACAGAACTCGGGTCTGGGTACCTGTCAAAGCCCATCTGCCCGCAGGCTGTCTGGGCCAGAGCATCCGTGAAGCTGTCGAAGCAGACGGAGGCCCAGGTCCTGGTGGCCGGGTTCAGCACCTGAAGGGTGGACCTGTCCCTGGACAGACGCACTGGGAGGGGAGGAAGCGGGTCAGCTCAAGGGCCCGGCTGACCCATTCCCCTAAGAAGGCGTCATGAGACCAGCCAGACTCCCCCACCCCGAATGGGAGCCGCACAGAAGCCTAACCCTGCAGCCCCAAGGGCAGCGCCCCCTTTTGGCTCTGCGTGAATGAGCCCCATGCTGACAGTAGCTGGGGCGACCGAATGTCCTGGGGCAAATCCCCGTTCTGTCCTCACCCTGGAGTACTCAGTGGCAGCTCCTCTAGCTCTGCTAGGTAGTCCTGATGACATCACCTCACCCTGCGGCTCACACAGCCCGCCCAGCGGGACGTCCTGGCGGGGACCCAGCTCCTCCCGGGAAGCTCAGAGGGGGGCTCAGAGGGGGGCCCAGAAGCACCCTGGCAACAGAGTGGCAGGTGCCCGGAGGCTTCTGGCTTCTGATTTTAAAAAAGCACAAATAACCCTGGCCGGTTTGGCTCAGCGGTTAGAGCGTCGGCCTGCGGTCCAGAGAGACCCGGGTTCGGTTCCCGCTAAGGGCACGTACCTCGGTTGCAGTTTGTCCCCGGCCCTGGTCGGTCGTGCGGGTGGCAGCCACTCGATGTGTCCCTTTCACATCGATGTTTCCCTCTCTCCCTTCCTCTCTCTCCCTCCCACTCTGTCTGTACAAAAAATGGAAAAATGTCCTCGGATGAGGATTAAAAAAAAAAAAAAGTACAAATACGCAGGAAGTCACTCAGCCCTGCTCCTCAGGGGCTCCCGTCTCCGTCACCTGGGCCGTTTTTCTCTCCGGAGCCCGGTCCGGAAAGAACTTGGGCTTTTATGTTCAAAACGTCTCGTGTCCCCGTATGGGCCCAGCTCACGCTTGTTACGTAGCTCGTGACGATAAACACGTATCTCATGCCCAGAGGGACCAACAGCTCGCGAGTCCTCACAGTCTTGTCTGGTCCTCGTGAGGTAACAGACGGAGGAAAGTCCCCAAGGCCCTCGAACCCAGCCCCCTGCCTCCGTTTCGCCAGGCCCAGCAGACACGGGGCCGGCTCGGTTATACTTTTCTGTTCCCTGTTCTGGTCCAAATACTGACTGAGTGCCTGCTACACACGCAGTAGCGGGGCTGGTGGGCGAGATGCGGCCCTGTGGTCGGGAGGTCACAGCAGGACGAGACGGACAGCTGGCGGAAGCCGAGCCCTCTCGCCGGGGCCTCAGCCCCGCACTCACCGGGCACGGGGGGCCCATCCGGGAGGTTCCTGACGCACTGATGCTCATCGTCCCCCGAGGCACAGTCCTGCCGGCCGTCACACACCTGCCTCCTGGGGATGACGTGGAGGGTCTGCTCGCAGAAGAAGTAGTGTTTGTCCAGGATCACCTTGACTGCAAGGCAAGGGCGGGGGACAGGGGGCTGAGGACACACAGGCTGCCGGGACTGACGGCTGTTCTCCCGAAGGTGCCCTGGGCTGGGGACACAGCCAGGTGCTGGTCCCGGGCCCAGCGCTGCCCCCTGCTGGCTGGGGCACTTGGTCCTGAGCCTCGGTTCCCTTCTCTGTAAACTGGGCTAATAGAACCTGTGCCTGCCTAAGGACGGCTGAGGAGAGAGAGCGAGCGTGTGGGGGGAACTCAGATCCGGCTGCCCGGCCTCTACCCCAGGTCCCTGATGCGGAGGACACGCTGGTCTGGGTCTGGGCGCCCGAGCGGCTGCGGGGTGGGGCTCGGTTTCCTCATCTGCAGGGAGGCGACCCCTCGGGGCACGGAGAGCCTCGGCTGAGCCGGCGGCTGTGCAGCCGGAGAACTAGGTGTTTTTATCGGGGTGATGTTCTGTGTTGTCCCCGCCTGCTGCCTCCCAACTCTGTCGCTCCTCTGCTGCCTCGGGTGATAGCAACGAGTCTGTGCTTCTAACTCCTCAGGGGACACTTTCCTGAACCCTCCAGGCAAGAAGAGACCCTCTGTCGGCCAGCCTGCCCCCGCTCATCCCGGCCCAGGGCTGCCTGTGGTCCTCCCCTCACCCTCGCCACGACCTCAGGAGGCGGCCACTAACTCACAGGAACCAGGACACTGAGGTTAGGGAGCTGGGGTCTGTTCCCGAGGCCACCTCTGCGCGGGGCAGGGTTTCAGTGAGGGTCTGTCTCGCTCAGAGCTGTCTGGGTCTCCCCACCTCCCCGGGGGCCCGGGCTGTGCTGCCAACTCGGATTCTCCCGAGTGAAGCAAGCGAGAAGGAGCAGGTCAGATTCTTCTTAGACTCCAGAGTGTGGTTCATGGTCAGGAGCCAGGGTAAGGCAGGGTCACTCTGGCCTCCTGGGACAAAGCCAGGACACAGTTGAGACCCTAACCCTAACCCTAACCAGCGGAGACCCTAGAAACCAAAAGGTCGAGGGAGCCTAACCCGAGCTGGAAGCTCGTACCTCCTCTGGTGCCTCACCCAGGGGGGCCCAGGCGTGGAAGCCACGCAGGGAGAGCCCACTCCAAACGACCGCTACGCCTGCCCGGCGTCCCCGGGCGAAGGTGGGTCTCTGCTCTCCACGGTGGTAGGCACCCCCTCGGGGACAGAAAGCTCACTTGACTCTTGGTCTGAAGAACACAGGCTCAGGGTGGCGGGTCTGCAAAGCCACCGCTGCTTTGGCCAAACACCGGCGAGACCAAGCTGGAATGACCGGGGGCATCCGCAGGGCTCGCGGGGCCAGAGGGGGAAGGGACCTGCTCAGCGGGGGGCCTGGGGCCTGTCTCCGCTGTCCCTGCTGCCATGCCTCCTTGGGAGCCTCGGTGCTCAAGAGGAGAATGCGGATTCGACCAGATGAGCTGAGTGTCCGCAGTGGGGTGGTGGCTACTACTGGTGGGGACCCCGGCTCGGCTGGCTGCCGAGAGGTCCTGGCACTGCACATGCTGTCCCGTTGGCTCTCTGGTGACCCCGAAGGAGGCGGCCATTTCATAGATGGGAAGACCGAGGGTAAGAGAGGAGGAGAGCTCACTCCAGGTTATAGAGCGGCAGGTGGCAGTGCCAGTGCCCGCCCCAGGTGCCTCCCGGCCGGGTCCCTCCTGCCTGCTCCCTGTGCGGAGGCTGTGGTCGGCAGCCTGCTATGACTACCTGGCAGATGAAGGCGAGGACTTCATCCCGGCCTGTGGGCGCTGACCAGGGCGCCTGTGGGCGCTGACCAGGGGGCTGTGGGCGCTGACCAGGGCGCCTGTGGGCGCTGACCAGGGGGCCTGTGGGCGCTGACCAGGGGGCTGTGGGCGCTGACCAGGGCGCCTGTGGGCGCTGACCAGGGGGCCTGTGGGCGCTGGCTAGGGGGCCTGTGGGCGCTGACCAGGGGGCTGTGGGCGCTGACCAGGGGGCTGTGGGCGCTGACCAGGGGGCCTGTGGGCGCTGACCAGGGGCCTGGGGCGCTGACCAGGGGGCCTGTGGACATCCCTGTTCACTGACTTTGCTCTTTTCTGTAGAGAGGCTGCCGAGACCACACTGGGTCTCAGGCACTGGCGTGATGAAGACAGAGCTGCGGGTGGGCGGGGTGGTCTGCCTGGTGGTCCCTGCCCGAGGCCCCTCCCTTTGTCCCTCCTCATGAGCAGAATGCTCCTTCTCTTCCAGCCGGGGCTGCTCAGGTGTCTCAGCCCCCAGCCTGCAGACGTGGGACCAGGGCAGGGGGCATGCCTGCCACACGCACGGCCTGTGTAGGGTTGTGAGTGTGCAGCTGGGCCCTCACTGTGGAAGAAACCATCTGGTATACCAGCCAACTGGGACAGGGGGCGGAGTTCATCCCCTTTCTCCGAGGAGGGCCCTTCAGAGCGGAGTGGGGACAGGGAGATTACCCAGGAACACACCTGTGACTCTGAGGTGAGGGCAGGGGAAGGGGGAGTGGGAGCTGCCACTTACTGTGGGGGTGCGGGTGGGGTGGGGGAGGGCTTCCACTTACTGTAGGGGTGCCGGGGGGGTTGGGAGTGGGGGAGGGCTTCCACTTACTGTGGGGTGTGGGTGGGGAGGGCTTCCACTTACTGTGGGAGTGTGGGTGGGGGGAGGGGAGGGGAGGGCTTCCACTTACTGTGGGGGTGTGGGTGGGGAGGGCTTCCACTTACTGTGGGGGTGTGGGTGGTGTGGGGGTGGGGAGGGCTTCCACTTACTGTGGGGGTGTGGGTGGGGTGGGGGTGGGGAGGGCTTCCACTTACTGTGGGGGTGTGGGTGGTGTGGGGGTGGGGAGGGCTTCCACTTACTGTGGGGTGTGGGTGGGGAGGGCTTCCACTTACTGTGGGGGTGTGGGTGGGGGGAGGGGAGGGGAGGGCTTCCACTTACTGTGGGGGTGTGGGTGGGGAGGGCTTCCACTTACTGTGGGGGTGTGGGTGGGGTGGGGGTGGGGAGGGCTTCCACTTACTGTGGGGGTGTGGGTGGTGTGGGGGTGGGGAGGGCTTCCACTTACTGTGGGTGTGTGTGGGGGGGGAGGGGAGGGGAGGGCTTCCACTTACTGTGGGGGTGTGGGTGGGGTGGGGGTGGGGAGGTTTTCCACTTACTGTGGGGGTGTGGGGGGTGGGGTGGGGAGGGCTTCCACTTACTGTGGGGGTGCGGGTGGGGGAGGGCTTTCACTTACTGTGGGGGTGCGGGTGGGGGTGGGGTGGGCTTCCACTTACTGAGGACAGCCATGATGACAATGGTTGTCAGGCTGAGCAGTGCTGCGATGATGGGGACCCCCACTTTTTTGAAGGTCTCCAGGGGAGTGCGGGGTTTGCGCTGGGGGCTGACATCTGTGAAGTGGGGGGAGAGCCTGCGGTCAGCACTTGGAGCCCTCCCCCGCCAAGGCCCGCTGTCTCCCTGCCCTCTGCCCCTTGGCGCTGAGCCACAGAAATGCTTTGGGAGAGTTTTGGTTGGCACTTGGGGTTACTCCTTCAGAACAGGCGTAGCTTCATCTGCCAAGGTCGCCCACCACCTTTCATGTACCCAGGCGTATCCAGTTCACAGGCCTCTCAGCGAGCCTTCAGACCGGACACTTCCCATCTCACCTTAGGGCGCTGCACCCTGTCCAGCCTGCTCTGCCCCGGGACAGCACGGCCGTCCATGTCACTATCGTCCATCCCCTTTCCTGACTTAGCTTCTGATTCCTCTAGAAGCTGGAGGAGGGTAGGGCCTCTATCACACTGTGTCCTTCGTAGAGGCTTGATCCATCCCTGTGAACGGATACGTCTCCAGCTCAGTTCCCCAAACAGCACATCTCTGGAATGGTCCTTGTCTTCTGGGAGATTACAGTCTGGGGGAGGGGCAAACAGAGATGCAGCTGCCAGTACCGCCCTGGACACCGTCCAAGCACCTTCGTGGGGCTCTGTCGGTGGAGGTGGGAGAGGCAGGGGTGGACCAGCTGACACAGGCCTGGGGTGGGGACCGTGAGCTCCTGCTGTGCCTGGGCTGTCAGGTAGGGGAAGGATGTTACGGATGCAGGACAGGTAAAGCCAGTTGGTGGAGAGTCTTGAATACAATGCTAGGAGTCCGGACTTTAGCCTGAAGGCAGTGAGGAGCCATGGGAAGCGTTGGGCTTCAGAGATACACGTGTGTGTTAACATGTAGCCAGATGTATCCTTTACACGAGTGTGATAACATGTAGCCAGATGTATCCTTTATACGAGCGTGATAACATGTAGCCAGATGTATCCTTTACACGAGCGTGTTAACATGTAGCCAGATGTATCCTTTACACGAGCGTGTTATCATGTAGCCAGATGTATCCTTTACACGAGCGTGATAACATGTAGCCAGATGTATCCTTGAGGAGTGAGGAGATGAACTGGAACAAGAGGCAGGGACTCAGGAGTCCAGGAAGGAGCCGCTTGGTGCTTAAGGCAGAGGAAGCATTAACCACATTGTCCATTTGGCATCGCCATCCAGGGGCCCATGCACGGGTGGTGCACGGGTGGTGCACGGGCAAGGCTGTACACAGTTACTATCTCAGGAAGTGTCAGAGGTTCGTCTGTGACCCCATCTTGCAGGTGATAGGCTGGGGAGGGGACTCTTCAGGGAGAATGAAGGCAGGGGTTATAAGGACCATGAGAATCTCTAGACGGCAATAGGTCCGCTCTCCTCCCCTCCAGGTGGCCTGCTCCTCACTCCTTCCGAATCATTCTTCAGATGTCACCTTCTCCGGGAGGCCTTCCTTCACCTCCCTGCTTATTTATTTACTTATTTTTTAATTAATTAAATTTATTTTTTTATCCTCACCTGAGGACATTTTTGCATTTATCTTCAGACAGAGAGGGAGGGAGGGAGGGAGAGAGGGAGGAAGAGAGAGAGAGAAACATCGATGTGAGAGAGACACATAGAGTGGCTGCCACCCACACGACCCCAACCAGCGCCGGGGACAAACTGCAACCGAGGTACATGCCCTTAGCGGGAACCGAACCTGGGACTCTCTGGTCCGCGGGCCGACGCTCTAACCACTGAGAAAACCGGCCAGGGCTTCACCTCCCTGTTTAAAAGGCAGCCTCCTTCCCTGATGGTCCCCAGAGTCCTCATCACCCTAATGTACTCCCTATTCGATCTAGTCTGTGTCTGGATCCTCCCGGCCTTGCCTCACATGGAGACCCCGCAAAGACAGGGACTTCTGTCGGCTTGGTCCACTCCTGCGCCCCCTGCGTCTGCAGTCGGTGCTCGGCAGACGTGTGGGCTGGAGAAACGCGCTGCTCTTGGCTGGCTCCCTTCAGCGCATCCTTCATCCTTCTACAGGTCTCGCTTTCTTCTGTCTTGAATCATGATGGCTCCTTTTGTCAGATTCTCTTTCTGTCAAAGCAGAAGTGGCATCCTCCCAGGGCCCGGTGCCCGATCCGTGTGGGCACCACGAACTCTGTTCCTAGGGGACGCATAGGAAACGTTGTGTAGCCTCCGAAGGGAGAATTTCACCCTCAGACACACAGCTCAGGCCCTGAGGACGCGGACTGGCATTGCCCGCCGTTCTTGGGCCCTGGCACCTGATGACAAGAAGGTCATCAATGATGTGAGCAGATAGTGCTTATCCAGTCCCAGTGGTCTGTTCAGCACTGTCCTCCTTCCTGTGGCCATGGACGTGGGGACATCTTATTCATGCATTCATGCACGATGTGTTTCTCGAGCACCCGCCTCTGGGGACACGGGGCTGGCTTGTTTCCTGAGATGAATGGCCGACGGGGAGCTCCCTGATTGGCTCCGTGGCCCGGGCCCGATGTCTCTGCCTCTCTGGTATTCTCAGGGAGAACACTCATGAAGGGGAGCATTTCCTTGGTTTATTGTCTCCTACTGGTTTACGTTAACGAACCCACCGAGTTTGAATAGCCTCCCTGCCTGACACTGGTCAGCCAGCCCTGCCCACGGCTGCCAGACACGGTTTCCGCCCCCAGCCCCTTGCTCCAGAACCTTCCGGGCTCCCCAGGACTTCCTTCCACGCCTGGACCCCCTCTACCCAGGCTTCCAGAGTCTGCCTCACCCAGCTAAGTCCTCGTCAAGCCCGGGCCCACATGGACGGGGTCACCCCCGGTTCTTGTACAGCGCCGAGCCTTCGCTCCTGCTCTGCCCTCCACCACTGACACACTCATCCCTTCCCTCTGATTTCCGACAGCTGACTCCTGTAGGGCTTTCGTCAAAGCCTATCTGACCCATGACGCTGTCCCTGACCGGTCCCCCTCCCTCCTGGGCGCCCCCGGGCACTGGGGCAAACTGAACACTCACGCCAGGGGGCGCCCTTGCGCGGCGGATGTGCTTAGAGACACCGTGGTCATTTATTATGGAATTCCAAAGTACGACACTTGCCGAAGATGACACCACTTGGGTCCTTATTAACTCACAACCTTGAAAGAAGTAGCTGTCAAAGAGCAAGGTTGGCCCTTGCCTAATGGATTGGACCCGTGTGTTCTGCTCACTCGGTGCAGCAGGCTCTCGGGAGGAGGTGCTGGTTGTTACGACAATGCAATGGGGGGAAAAACCTTTAGATTTGGGAACACTTTGTCTATTCACTTATTTTTCTCCTAAGTCAGGCAAACATGGCCATTTTCCGTTCTGCTGGTGAAAGTACTTCTGTCCAGCCCCTTCCCCGGCAGCTGGGTCAGAGCGTAAACCCACAAGACAGGGACTTGGGCTGTCTCAGCTGCTGCTGCGGCCCCGGGTCAGCCAGAGCCTGGTGCATGGCGGGAGCCCCCCGTGTTGCTGGGTGAACGACAGAACCAGTGACTGAAGGAATGAACTGAAGAATCACTGCTCTTGGGTTTCAGGGTTGTTGGTCCTTCCCCCCAGAGACCATGCCTCCTACTTCTGGAATGAATCCCGCCTCTCAGAGTTTGTTGAACGAGGGGTGCACGGTGCGTCCCACAGCGTGGCACTTGCTGTGGTAGTGAGGGCCCCGCGTGGGTTTTGGCATCTACCTGGCAGCCGACGGAAAGAAACTCGGAGGCTGAGGCAGACAAAGGAAGCAGAGCTGAGCTTACCCAGGCTGTTCAGGGGCTGGTCGCTGTCGGGGTCCTGGAATGGAAGGGGACACTCAGTGAGTGGAGGGAGACACTGGAGGTTGGGGCTGACAGGCCAGGAAGGCTGTCGGTTCCTGTCTACGCTCCCTTCTCCCTGCTGATCTAAGGTGGAGGGTCTCTGTGACATCCAAATACTTGGTTCAAAACCGGAGACTCAGTTACACATCGACATGACCTGGTACAACCAGCTGACTCACTGGAGCGACCAGTGAGCCATAGTAGCGACTAGTTAGCCATAGTAGCGAATAGTTAGCCATTGCAGCAACTAGTTAGCCATAGTAGTGACTGGTTAGCTATTGTAGCAACTAGTTAGCCATTGCAGCAACTAGTTAGCCATTGTGGCGACTGGTTAGCTATTGTAGCAAATAGTTAGCCATTGCAGCAACTAGTTAGCCATTGTAGTGACTAGTTAGCTATTGTAGCAAATAGTTAGCCATAGTAGCAAATAGCCATTATAGCGACTAGTTAGCCATCGTCGCGACTAGTTAGCCATCGTGGAAACGTCTGGCTGCTGCCTTGCGGGTGCTGCTGAGTTTCTTGCGATGACTCTGCTCCCCTGTCTGTTTTGTCCATGTTCACAGACCTGCACGGTACTCTGCAGGGGGTACACCCCTGGCCAGCAAGTGCCCACAGGTGCTCGGTAGCATCACTCCAGGCCAATGCAAATTCAAACCACAGTGAAATATTTCCACAGACCCCAGAAGGGCTGGCAGTACCAGGTGCTGGCGAGGGTGGGGGCCCCTGGTGCTCCCACACATTGTTGGTGGGACTGCACACGGCTACACAGACTCTGCCAGAGAGTTTGGCCGAACCCACTAAAGCGGAACATGTGGCGGCTATCGCTCCATGGCCCGGCAGTTGTAGCCAAGAGAACACGTGCACGTACCCGTCGGAACCCAGTGTGCGTATGAACGCCTGCGGGAGCGTCATTCCTGACAGCTCAGAGCCGGAGAAACCCAGACATCAACCACCGGTGGCGTAGATAAGTTACTACGGTAGACGCGTATGATGGAATATAACTCAGCAACGAACAAGAACAAACTAACCCTAGGTGCAGCGACCCCTGGATGGATCGCAGACCTGACAACGAAGGACCAGACACAGAAGAGCGCCCTCTGTAGGATTTCGCTGATATAATTTCGAAGGGAAAGGTGGTGTACCGTGATGGGATTCAGAGTCGCGGGGACCACTGGGGAGGGAGGGCAAGTTACCGGAAGGAGCCTAATGGAGGCTCCTGGAATGTTGGAGAACTTCCAGATCTTGATCGAAGTGCTATCTGCATGGGGGTGGATGAGTGTAAAATCCACTGAGAGGTATATTTCGGGTTTGAAACTTTTCCGAGTGTGTGTTTCTCCTGATAAAACAAGCAGACCAGCGGAAGCACAGAGCCCGAGCACCGGGCATTTCTGTGAGTGTGGTCTTAGGGCGCCACGGACACACGCACACAAACGCGCTCGGTGGCCCCACAGACGCACCACCTGCTGTGTACACGCAGCCACACGGGTGCACGCAGAGAGGGGCCGCCTGCACAGACGACACGCACCCCCTGTCTGCAGGCCAGGGCTGGGGGACGGGCGCTGGCAGTATTCACGCTCTCTGAAAACCCTCTCACTGGGGACTCCCGGAAACTCCCTTGTCGTTCTTCCTTTCCCCAGCCTGGCCCAGGACCTGGAACCCCCCGGCTGGGGACCCCAGGTCTGCCCAGGGACCCGCCTGCTGTGGTGTGGAGGTTCCGGCCGCTCTAGTGCTGGGTGGAGACCGGAGGACCCTAGATATTTCTGGCTGCAACTTTCTCCAGCCCCACTTGGGAGGGAGAGTGTGTCTCCTAGCCCTGGGCGGGTGCCCCACATTAGATACGGGGGTGTTGCGTGGTGCCCGCTCCCATGGCTGAGCGTGCAGGTACAGTCATTGGGCGTGACTCTTCCCTCCCAGTCTCCATAGCCGGCTGGAGGGACGGGCTGCTTATCCTTTGGTGACACCAGGCCGTGGCAGCCGGGTAGCCGCAGAGAGAGCCGGGCTCATACAGGCTCTGCCCCTGTGAACTGTGAGCCTTTGGGGAAGGTACTCAACCCCCGTGGGCTCTAGGGTTACCTGTAAGGTGGGGAAATCCACCTGCTTCCGAGTGCTCCTTTTGGGGGTGAGCTGAGAGTCTGGTGCACAGTGTCGGCTCGGCGCGGGAGCCCTGGCTGTGCCCCCGTCCTGTGCCCCCCACCCCGGGTCCCATCACTCTCCTGCTGGGCCCCGGGCTGGCACTTGGTGCAGGACTTCGAACGGCTGTGAAGGGGGCAGCCCTCTGTGCCCACCCTTCTCTTCCAGCCCCTTCCCTCCACCACCCCCAGGCTGAGGGGCTGATTTCCACAATAAAGACGAGATTGAGCCCTGGCCCGTGTGGCTCAGCTGGTTGGGCATCGACCGTGCACCGAAAGGTCTCTGGTTCGACTCCCGCTCAGGGCACAGGCCCGGGTTGTGGGCTTGATCCCAGGTAGGGGGCGTGCAGGAGTCTGCTGATTGACATTTCTTGTTTCTCTGTTCCTCCCTCTCCCTTCCTCTCTTTTCTTTTTTTTTTTTATCCTCACCCGAGGATATTTTTCCATTTTTTGTACAGATAGAGTGGGAGGGAGAGAGAGGAAGGGAGAGAGAGAGAGAAACATCGACGTGAAGGGACACATCGAGTGGCTGCCACCCGCACGACCAACCAGGGCCGGGGACAAACTGCAACCGAAGTACGTGCCCTTAGCGGGAACCGAACCCGGGTCTCTCCGGACCGCAGGCCAACGCTCTAACCGCTGAGCCAAACTGGCCAGGGCTCCCTTCCTCTCTTTCTAAAAATCAATAACAAAATTAAAAAAAAAAAAAAATGTGAGAAGGAACGGGGCCACTCCGCCCTCCTCTGGCTACAGTCAGATGACGACAGCACCAGTGAGGACGCACACACAATAGGCTCCTCGCAGTCTGCAGGCCTCCAGCTAAGTCCAGTGTGAGGGCCACTAGGACCGATACCAGGCACCTGACACCAGCGCGTGTGGCCTAAGTCACCGGCACGAACCCAAACAAACATCTCTGTGTGTCGCACCGTATCGGGCACCGTTCCGGGAGTTGCGGGTTCAAAGACAAATGCAAAATGATTGCAGCAAGATGGAAAAGTGCCCGAACAAGACGGGCGAGGTCCCTCAGCGCGGGTGAGGGGGGGTGGGGTGAGGGGCACGGGGAGGACAGGCCACACGCAGGTCGAGCAGGACATCAGAAGCGGTGGGCGCGGTGCTGATGGGGAAGCAGGTTGTGGGAGGCGGAAGCTGGATGGACAGTGAGGGTGGGAGGCCTGGGAGGGGCGGGTGGTGAGGGGGCCTCTGGGCAGAGGCCTGAGCGACAGGAAGCGGCAGCAGGCAGCAGCTACAAGCCTGGGGCTGGGGGAGCCGACTGGGGAGCCACGCGGCCGGACGAGGGGAGGAGAAGAGGAGGGAGGAGGAGGGGGGCCGCGTGAAGATTCGGCGCGTGAACAGAGACCGTAGCCCGCCGGTGGATTGGATGCTCTCGGGTTTTAGTGAGCAGGTAGAGGGGCATTTGCTGAGATTCGGAGGCTACAGGAGGGGCAGGCTGGAGGGGTACCATGGACATCCATGCAGGGGTCCTTCCGTCCATTCATTCTTTGTTTTGTTTTTTTTAATTTTTTTCTTATATTGATTTTAGAGAGAGAGGAAGTAAGAAGGAGAGAGAGAAACATGGATGAGAGGAACATGGATTGGCCGCCTCCTGCATGCCTCCCACTGGGGACCGGGCCCACAACCTGGGCATGTGTCTTGACCGGGAATTGAACTATTGACCTCTTGGTGCCTGGGTCAAAGTTCAACCACTGAGCCACACCGGCCGGGCTCCATTCTTTTTCACTGAGTCTACCTCCACTGCATTCGTTGAAGTAGGTAGGGCAAGTCTCCTTTGTTGAATTTATTATTAATTCAACAAATATTGACTGTACGCCTTTGATGGACCTGGAATGTGCTAGAAGCTGAGCTGCAGAGGGAACAAAACATACTCCCACCCTGCCTTTTCTGGGGCCTGGAGTTCCTCGTCTTGAGCGGAAGGGACCCTGGCACTCCTGACTCATGTTTTTGGCTGCTCCCCACGGCGCAGAGGTTATGAGAAACACGTCACACCTCTTCGAAAGGAAAGAGAAAGAGAAATCACCAAGTCAAAGCTGCGGGACTCGGGGGCCGGCTGCCGTGGCGGTCATTGCACCCTGCTCTCCACCGCGCCTGGCGCACGGTGGGCATGAACCAGCCTTGGCTGAATGAAGGGATTAGGGGAAACAGCCCCTTCCGGCCTCGGCCCAGGCCAGCCTCGAAGACACCGACCGCGGGGCCCAACCAGGAGCTGCAGGGAGAACGCGTGGACTCAGTGCTCAGGACAAAGGACGCCCCGGAGATCACATGGAGCACAGGGACCCGCGGAGGAGTCAATGCCACCAGGCAGGGCCTCTGGCACAGCCCCCGGCCCATCCGAGGGGTCCGGCAGGACCTGCCACCTGATCCAACAAGGGGCCTGCCTCCCGCCTCAGGAGAAGGGTCTCATGAACAGGTGTAGGTCGTTGTTAAGCCCTGGCTTCTGTTTTGGGGGGTGGGTTTATGGAGGCTTATCACATTGTGAATCCATCTAACTAGCTGGTGCGTTACAGGAGGCCCCGCATGAACCAACAGAGAGAAACCACGGGTTATGACTCGTTCCGTGCCGAGCCCCCAGGGGCGACGGAAACGCGCCAGCACCTGGCCGACTGCGCGAGGGGTTTGGTGGTCCCGCTCCGGCTCCCGCTGCCCCCTCTGGCTGCCTCCGTTTGGTGGTCCACCTTCGCCTTTTCCTGAAACCTCTCTGGCAAACCTCCTGACATGGAGGTCAGAGGTGATGGGGTGCTAAATTTCTGGGAAGAGGAGCTGCTGAAGGTCGTGGGTGTTGGGGATGATGGGCAGGAGAACGGGGGTGCCCCTGAGGCCTCTGAGTGCTGCT